TTGGGTACTTCGAGAAAATTCAAGCAATGAGGACTCTTTATACTCTATTAGTCTCTAGCTTTCAATGGACTTTGCCATCTTCATCAGGAGCTGCAATAACATTGAGAAGAAATAGCAACTATTGTGCAAAATAATTTCAAATTACTTACATTAGTATGGGAGATTTTGCTAAATTTTATTAACGGTTAGGTTGAGGAAAACATTTAGCAGCCTGGTGAAAGCTGGATACATGGTACACTCGTTAAAATTAATATAAAATATACACAGCTGTATGTCAGCATCAGGTGGTTCACGATGTAATTTCGTTTTTTTCGTTCTAAATATTTTTTAATACGTTTTGATGTATCCTGACAAAGCTTTTACCAGGCTACTAAATGTTTCCCTCAACCAAACCGTTAATAGCATTTAGCAACAATCTCACATACTAGTGTATGTAATTTAAAATCATTTTGCACAATAGTTGCTATTTCTTCTCAATGTTATTGCAGCTCCTGATGAAGATGACAAAGTCCATTAAAAGCTAGAAACTAATAAAGTATAAAGAGTTGCTTGAATTTTGTCGAAGTACCCAACTAAAGGTTTATTTTTCACCTATATATATATATATATATATATATTAAGAATAAAGGTGGATGCACCACAGACTTCTGAGGGACGCCTCATGAAACTGTCGCTGTACTGGAAGTAGTTGTTGAGGGTTACGCCTATGAATCATAAAAATGATGACTGGGATGGAGGCCAATGACACTCTTAAATAATCTGAAGAGGATGGGACAACGTAGAAAGTTAATATTTTTGTCGTCCACTCGAGATCAGAAACAGAAATAAAAATACATCCTGTTAGTTACTACGTATGTAGACGCCTACACTATTTTCAACCAAGAAGCTTCTACGGTTGCAGAAATCTTGGTGAAACCGGCTCCAGTAGCTCTGTGTCAAGTCGAACGTGAGAAAAACCAGAAAAACGTTAACTCACCTGGAGTTCGATCTGCTGTTCAATAGTTTACAGGATAGTCACTCTTTCCATACTTCGGAGGAGACCAGAGGCCGCATGAAGGAATGCTGAGATATCAAGGCTCAGACAGCACGGTCTTGTGACGTTCTACAATGTTAGAAGAAGGAAGATCGATGTCCAAAGCTATAAAACGCCTGGAACAAATCGTACAGAGAAAAAGAATCAAGGATGTCACCTCCAGCATTAGAAATGTTCATAGTTGAAAATCCAGCTGTTCTTCTTAACAAGCTTGCCAGAGACCACAATGAATGGTAGCGGCTACAGGAGATGCATGCTCATCTAGCCTCATAAGTACCTAGAGTGCCAGTGACTTGTTTCTGCTACTCAAAGTGCACCTCTTGATACTATGTATTCTCAAAGACATAAAGGCTGTCAAAGGTCAAACAAACTAGAGCAATTAAAAGATCAGAAATTATCACTGAAAAGAAGCCTGAAGATGGGATATGGACCATAGTGAATCTTATTAACGATCAAGGTTACCCAAAGGTAGAAGGCAAGCTGTGCTGAGGTGTGGACTGCTTTGCAGAATCTAGAGTATCATGCCCGATTTTACGATATCAAGAAACTGCTGATGTTTAAGCTGAACAGAACACAACCTGGATAGTTGTGAGAAATATGCTAAAGTTCATACGTTTAACTGTTTGGGCTACATAGTAACCAAGATGACAGCATGGAACTTCCGACAGATTTCCCGCAAAAAAAAGGAGCTGTACCAGCATCATCGGGCTTAGGATGCTTGAGAGAGCAGTGAAGTAGAAACGGTCTGTATCTTGAATGGGTTGAAATGTTTGCGAAAACCTCAAAAAGTTATCTCAAGAACTAGATTTTTGATCTAGAATTCTTAGATTCGAGATTTTATAATTTTTTAGTTACTTGAAGGATATCTGAAAAAATCTTGATGATGAATGACGTTAGTGGATGATTTCAAAATTCTTTGTGTTTTGCTTATAGCTCCTCTGTCACTGCATGAATTAAAAAATCAAAACAATGTGTTCAGTCTCTCCGTAACTAGAAAGGTAGTGATACTGTCTTCAAAGTTTCAAGTTTTCCAATACGTTGATATGCGTAAGTGCGTAAGCATAAGCCATTTTCCTACCCCCTTTCCTTAACAATCTCGTTCTGCCCACAGTTTGACTGTATTAGACGCGTCTCTTTCTCGTACATAAGCCGGCTTGAATATATCCTTCCCTGATTCCCGCCCGCAATTTCGGTAAAACTGCGAAAATGCTCTTCTTTGTTTTAGGATAAGCGGGAAACCATTTTCTTAATGAACTGAAAATGAGTTACGAGTCGGTGTGTAACCTGACGGATACACGTTTTTGCAGTGCCCAGTGGCGTACAGGAGGAAAATAGGGGTTCTATCGTATATCTGAGGATATATAAAGTTATTGAGTGAGCTATTGTAAAAGGGAGATGATTCTGGGTTGTGTATGGTAGTGATATGAGAAGTTTCGAGTAGCGGTAGGATTATACGTATTTTAGATATCCAACCACTGCAAATAGATTTAGTACAATGGGCCGAGTGAATAAAAACTTAGCTTTTGCTTTTAGTATGAAGTATAAGCCTTAGCTTTCACTAGGTAGATTAGGCATTTGCTGAAATTGAAGTGAATAACCTTTTGCTTTTACTTACTAGCAAAAGCTAGATATTTTAAGTATTTACTTAAAGTTCTTATTTTTATTTTTATGACTAATCAGTCGGCCGTGAAATTCTGTGGAACTGCAGGCTCAGACCTGTCGATAGACTGTATGTGTATGGACAAATTTTAACTGCCGATGTGCAAATCGACAAAGGCAAATATCAAGCACATGAAAATTTTTTAAACCAGTATCATTACCGAGTGCTAAGGGTTTACGTTCAAAATGAGTAGTGATTCAGAAAATTCTACAAGTGATTTTTTGACGGAGGAAGTTCCTGCAAAAATTTCGTCCAACCTGAAATTGATGGAAATTTTGGAAAGCTATAATATAATATTTAATAAATCGCAAGTTCCTAAAATAAAAGAGAAAAATGAACAAGCATACAAAGAAATCCACCAAAACTATATTTTGCAAATTGGAAGGGATTTTACTGAAAAACAACTAAAAAAGAACATCCAAAATATGAAGACCGAGTTGAAGAAAAAGACAAAACTGCAACGGGAAATAAGAAAATTGTTTTAAACGCGTAGGAAAACCAACTTTTGGCGCTAATGGAAGGACAAGAAAACCCTGTTTTTCAAAAAGTACCAGGTAGGTAATAAGGAGGGAGTAAAATAAAAAAAAATGGAAAAAATCGAGTAATATGTCATTTTAGGGGTTTTTGGGTATGAAGATTTTGATTTTAGATCCCACTGAATATTTTAATGAAAATTGAGGGGGAAAGGGAGAGAACAAAATTAAAAAAAGCTTTTTTCGTCCAAAATCGGGTAATATGTCATTTTAGGGGTTTTTGGTTATGCATATTTTGATGTTACACCCCACTGAACCTTTTAATAAAAATGGGAGGGGGTAACATTTTATAATATGAAGTTTTATGTGGTTATTTTAAGGTTTTTGGGGTAAATGAATCTAGTTCTACTAATTGTTTTACGCAAATAGGTTTTTGGACATTTGGCATCAAAAATCCATCACAAGGTCGAGACTTAAAATATGATGTATGCCGTTTTCTAAGTACTTAGGGAGGGTTAGGTACTCAAACTGTGATGTGGAAGTATTGATTCAATTTGTAGCGGTTTTTTCGCCGAATAGTATAAATTACTGTTTTGCTGCTATTTGATCCAAAAAATTATTTCAAGAGCAATAGGATCTGTGGAACAACCTCAGCCATCAACATCCAAAACTGAAGAATTTATTCCACCTCCACCTCATGTTCGGCCTTTACCTGATAAGTCCCCAGTTACCAAAAAAAACAAATTTAAGGAAAGAGATGAAACCTCAAATTTGTCCAATACAGAGCTCCAACGACTGGTATTGTTGGAACAGCTGGAACTAATAAGGGTTCAAAAGGAAAAGGAAAAATTATTGTTGGAAAAACTACAAAAAGAAAATGGAGACCAATTTAGAGAAATAAATAATTTGTTGTTTAGAAAGTTGGAAGTAAATGAATAAATTGTTTTCTTTTTTTTTATACTTCAACTACCACGAAGGCCTAAGGCCTAAGCACCCATTGGGTACCGTGGGGCTATAGGGGGATACATGGGAAAGGGGGAACGCCACACGGACTCTGGCGAGGGAACACGTGTGCATGCAACATGCACACATTCTGGCTCCGCCTACGAGATCCGCCGGGTGGTACCTCCGCGTTCGACAGTCAGAGACCGTCTACCACCTACGGACAATCACAACATCCATAGCTAAGAGAAAAATTTCTCCTGGGACGGGACTCGAACCCGCACAGCGCACGGCGACTGATCAGGAGACCGAAGAGTCTACTACTACTTACATTTCAATTTAGCTTAAAAAGTAATTCAAAATAATAAAAGCCATAAAATATAACATTATACAGTGTGGCCCATTGAAAACTTTCTAGAAGGCATAACTGCCTGAAAAAGTTGTTGTCGAAAAAATCCTCCTTCAAGTGTCTTGTTTAATTTACTTATTACGTATTAATATCCATGTTGTCTTTTGATATTATATGGTATCGTACTCAGTAGTATATTTACAACTGCAATTGAAAAATTACATTTATTATTGAGCACGCTGATAACTTCTTCACCATCGTGATCCTCGGCGGCTACTTCTCCTTCGTCATTTGGTAATTTGTCATTTAAATACTTAGCAACATTATGCTGACGACTACTGACGGAATTTTGTCAATGTTCAATCGTATCGGACGTTGCAAAACAGGGAATCGACATTTTAGTTGTCCGAAACAGCGTTCTATAATAACGCGCTCTCTTTTATGTAAATTATTATACGCTATTTCTTGAGGTGTGGTGGGGTTTCTATATAGTGTAAATAGCCTTGCTGTTATGCCATACCCTACATCACCTAAAATAAGTCCTTAGTTCTGTTGACGTCTTCTCATCATACCAAAAATATTTGATCTTCTTAAAATACGACTGTCGTGCACCGGGCCAGGCCATTCAGCATCTACGGATGTAAAAATTTCTTTTCCGTCACAAGTTGCTTGCACATTTATACTACACCAGCCTTTCCTATTGATATACTCGTAACCATGTAGCGATGGCTTTATCATTGGTACATGAGTGCAATCAGTTGCACCAAAAGCACAGGGAAATCTATACAACTGTGCCCATTCGTTGGTTGCTTGGTCAGTCGAGTTTTCTATAGGAAATTTAATCCAAATTCCTGCCTTTTCAACTATTTTTGGTAAAACGTGAGATATCGTTTTACACATTGTTGTTCTCTGAACTTCTTCTTCTTTTCCGATCCCTATTTGAAATCCAGGATCACTTAGAAATCGCAAAAATATTTGCATTCTTTTTGGACTCAATGCACCACCTCTAGTCTCCACTTTTGGCTCCACATTTTCTTCACTAAATCTATACAGACCGCGGTATTGTTCGGCACGACTTTCTTTTCTTTCGCGATAAAATTTTACAGATCTTATATTCATGAATGCAGCCATTTCTGCCAAACTGTTTAACAATACTAAATTTTTAAGCCAGGGTCTAACAAGCCTGCAAAAATGTAAGCTATTCCTTAATATTCGTAGTAATTGCTTACTTTTATTCACACCATTTTTAGACAATGTTAAAAACTTTAGCTTTTGCTAATTTCATTTTTAGTAAAAGCTACTACTTATTTTTATTCACTGCAAACTAAGCATTTGCTAGGAAAATATAAGTTTCAGATTTTACTGAATTTTTATTCACACTGCCTAATGTAAAATTGATGAGAATTTCGGAGCCTGAAATAATAAAAGAGTATCATCGACAGGTATAGGAAATTCAAAACAGCAGAATTAGTAAACTTATTCTAAGTGTTGAACATAATTATATTATTCAGCTATCTAATGTTATAGTTTCCATCCTTGTATCATGTTAATATCAAACTCATCTTATTGAAGTTTATTCCAATTTGCTCTTAATAAAAATGGAATATAAAATGTACTGCACCAGCAAAACTGGTACTCAAAACTTTGATGCTACTAGAGCACAGGAATGATCCTTAAAACATAATTTTCAACTCGTTCGATTTTCTATCCAGTTATACAGAGTGATTCACAAGTCGTCACCGCATTTTGAGGGGGGTCTTCTATGTAAAACTTTTCTCGAGGGCTTCATTAGAAACATACGGGGTGTTGAAGTTTAGAAATAAAAAACAATTTTTTTAATATCTTCAAAACCGTCAACGGGAATGAACTAAAATTTGGTACGTGGATTATTTGCATTATTTTTCAAAATAAAAATAATACGCCACTGTTTTGTTTTGAAACGCGCAGTTTTTAGTATCTCACCTTCAATTTGCTATAAATTACTCGTGCGTTTTTTCCTATAGTGCATTGTTTTAGTAAAAATAAAATAAAAACAGATTAGATAATCAAAAATTCATCCCAATAAATGTTCAACAAGACTACCATTCTGACGGATACAAGTGCGACATCTTTTTAATAAAGAAAAACTTATTTCCGAAAAATTTGTTGTGGCTTGAATTTGATGAAACGCATTATAGTCTATTTTTTCACTGACCAACAGTATTAATTTGTTCAGCATACACTAATTGTTCAAAAGCGCCCCACAAAAAGAAATCCAGGGGGTTCAAATCAGGAGACATCGCAAACCATCTGATTGGATGAGGCTTATCAAAAAATCGCATACAAGTTGCCACAAATATAAAGTGTCCAGCTTTCGAGATAAAAAAGTTGCAAATTTTTGTGCCACTGACCGAGGATATAAAATAAACCTCATTCAAATATGGTTATAGTGAGATTGTTATATTACTTTTCTAATACACTACACACAATTTTCAATGTGCTCCACAGGCTCAATGGTTATTCAAAATGAAGAAACTGATGGTTTCAAAGCGGGTCTTACCTTGAAAAATCGAACCGAATTTTCTCCAGAGCAAGTCAGTGGCCTGGAAATTATTATTTTTTCTTTTTCTGTGGAAGTGTAAAAACCTAAAAGATTTCAAGCTGCTGTCAGTGTTCGTTCCATAATATGGAAATGCACTTTTAAGACCTCTAGTTAATCGCCGACCCAGATTCTGACTGCAGCGAAAATCCCTTGGAACGAGCTGGAATAACTGAAATCGAAAACGCTATTCAAACTAGTAGGGTGGGGATTTACCATAGAAATACACGAAAATGTGCTTCCCTGGTATTCCGGATCTGAATGTTCGTTTCACGCGTTTCTCCCATTCGGATCACACACATAATGGCTTTTTCGTGGAACTGGAACAGCCGCCGTTGCATTGGGGTACTCCGTTCAAGGGAGGGAGGTGTTGAGTGTACCTCTTAGTCTTTTCAAAGTCAAGCTGTGTTCATATTATCTGAGATATTGCTCCGAGTAAATTATGCTGTGTAAGTATACCGGTAGTTACCGGCCATCTGGCAACTTCGCCTCCAGAAGGAGAGACCCGTAACGAAAACATTCCTCTATAATCAAGTCTTAACGGAAATCTATCATGTGTGTGTTCCACAGGTGCTTAGAAATACCGGGGTATTAATATCAAAAAATTGCGATACACCTTCTCCCACCTTCCTGCGACCACCCATCCCTCAATCTTATACCTATAAAGATTTTTCAAAAATGATAAGGATCTTCTAAAAAGTCAACAAACGAAGTTTGAGACACGTTTATATTTTTAGATTTTGGCCTTTTCTCCGTAGCCACTGGATCGATATTCAAAAGTTACATGCCGAAATTTGATTGAACTCTGAGCACTAGTTTCCAAGATATAGAGGGGTCAAGGATCTGAGAACCGATCGACAGACGGGCAGACAGACGGACTGACGCAAATGAGTGACATGGTTTTTCGTGATCTATATATACTGTGACATATAAATCCGATCACCCAGTTTAAATGGTTTTATTTTAATAAAATTTTGTATAAGTACTTAATGAAGCATAATAAGTAAATGATAAAAAATTCAAAATGATTGCAATGCTTTAAAGCCCTTTGACCTTTAATAATGTGAGGATGCACCCTGATGTGCTACGCATTCTCCAACGCGCCTAGGCATGCTTCTGATCAGGTGGTCAATGTCCTCCTGTGGTATCTCATTCCAGGCAACCACCAACTCCTCTCGAAGTGCTTCTAGAGTCTGAGGAGGACGTTGCAAATTGAGCAATCTCCTACCCATCATATTCCACACGTGCTCAATTGGGGATAAGTCGGGAGATCTTGGTGGCCATGGTAACAATGTGACATCATTATGTTGAAAGAAGTCTATTGTGACTCTTGCAGCATGTGGTCGGGCATTGTCTTGTTGGAAAGTTGGATCTGCCAGGGTGTCAAGATGGGGTAAAAGATGGGGTTCTAGAACTTCGTGGATATAACGCTGCGCGTTCATGTTACCTCTGATGAAGATTAAAGGTGACCTGGAACCATAAGCTTTAGCACCCCAAACCATAACTCCAACAGTGTGATGAACATGTCTTTCAACAAAAAACTGTGGATTCCTCCTTTCACCACGTCTCCTTCTAACCCTGGCACGACCATCGTGCATGCCTAAACAAAATCGAGACTCGTCACTAAAGACAATACTGTTCCATTCCTGATCCCAGAGTGACCGTTGTCTGCACCACTCAAGGCGATTACGTCGGTGTTCTCGAGTTAAAGGGAGGACCCAGTGTGGCCGGTAAACACTTCGGACCTGGTAGTGGAGAAACGGTCCCTTAAGGCCAATAATCTTAGGCGGCGATCTTCACGGTCTGTGCCCCTTGCTCTTTGCGTACGGCCTTCTCGAAGCCATGCCTGACAACACCTAACCACAGTGTCTACACTTCTTTACACTCTAACTGCAATTGCCCGAAAAGAAAGTCCAGCTTCCCGAAGTTCACTATACGGCCCCTATCAAACTCACTAAGTTGACGAAATCGTACAGGTCTCCGTACTCTAGGCATCGTAACCGATCGTAAAGGATGTCAATAACCAAAATCCGCCAACGTTGATTCTTTACTGCGGCTGAAATATTCATTTTTAGAGCGTTAGTGAATTAAAAAAAAGCAGTATAAAAACCGGAATGTCCAACTGATAAGGCTGAAAATTTTTTCACTTGTTATTTACAGTAAGATAAATACATTCACCAACTTTTATTAAAATAAAACCATTTAAACTGGGTGTCCGGATTTATATGTCACTTAGTATATGTCAATTTTTAAACTTCTTGTGGATAAAATACTCCCTCGCAAATTGGCGTGGCTAGTAAAAGGTGACGAGTGTGCGCCTTACTCAGATAAATGTATGAGATAATTATTAGCATATCTAGACTGTCATTGGACAACAAGCTATTACTGTACAATGCTTTGTTTAAAAGCAGTTTGGATGGATGGCATCCAGTTATGAGGTACAGCGAGCAACAGAAATAATATCGCTATCCTTTCAAAACAAGGCCCAGCTCCAAAAAACTATTATCAATGCTCCACATTTCGTTCCAAATGAAATGATTCAGCGTTACATCTCTCTCCTTGCTGTCAAGGAAGTAATTCACCAGTACAGTTATAGGTACACTGAAAGGTCTGAAACATTCTAATATGTCAGCAAACTTGCGTCTAAGTGTACGTTATATGTAATTCACATTTTTTACTCCTATGCCATTGGCGATGAAGTATTGTAATCGTTAAACATTTTAAAAAGTCAGATATTATATTCTTAGGATTTTTTACATCACGAAAAACCATGTCAATCAATTTTTTCTGTCTGCCTGTTTGTCGGTCTATCGGTCTTTTTGCCCTCTATTCCTTGGCCCATCTATAACTTGGAATGTACAGCTCGGATTTTCATGAAATGTTCAAACAGGGTTGCTCAGAATTTTTTTAGAAGTTAGTAACTGGGGGCTGCGAGTTGTAGGGGGTAGCGGTGGGTACATCTTGTTTTTTTATGCGGATATATTTATACGCTGTATACAAGTAGCATGATGGAGAAAAATTTTAAATACAGAATACAATACTTTATTGAATAAAACAAATAATCTTTTTACAAAGGTAATTTAAAAAAAAATACAGAATACACTGCTAATATTGGCGCAAGTCTAGCTAATCTACTGAACCAAAATAAGACACAAAAAAATAATAATAGTAATAAGTCTTAAAAAACAATACAGAATAATCATAACAATAATTACGTGTTAATACTAAATAGACTGAAAGTAAATTAAAATTTCAAAAAGATATTAATTAATACTGGCCACTATGAAATTTGGTTACTGGTTACTATAAAATTTGTTTGACATATTTTTTCTACTTATATACCCATATTATAAACTTCAATCTCTATTCTAAAAAAATTTGTTCAGATTTGTATTAAGCAAATATTTCTTATATTGTATTTTGAAACTTGAAAGAGAAGGATTAAGGAACTGGTTGGGAATTGAATTAAATTGTTTAACAGCATTTTATGAGAATGATCGTTGAAACAATGCACTACTATGAAGTGGCATAGTTATTTTTTTTAAATATCTTACATTTATATCATGAAGAGAATGTCGGAAAATTAAGCGTTCTCTTATAGAATT